TCAGTGGTTAAGCACCCCYGGGTTCCATCTCTGGTACTAAAAAAACAAAAACAAAAATAATAAAAACAACAAAAAAGGAAAACCTTTTTGAGGAGACTGACTTTATCCTAAAGATTGCAATTTGGGTGAGGGGTATATGTGGGGGGCGGGTGATGAGGAGGAGGAGTACTGGGCCAGTCATGGGCTGGACAAAGTCAGAGGGGATCAGCCTCCACTCATTATCCTCCTTTAGATTTTACTCACTACCTTAATAATTAATTTCCTGACCAGCYAACTTCAAGGTCTGAAAGATATTTAGTTCTCTATCTAAAGATGGGGAACAACAGAGGGCTGCTCATACACGGTCCCAGCCACAATTGGCAGTTGCATTTTTAAGTTACTTCTTAAAATTTTGAGGTAAAGTCAGACTTACAGAAGAGTTGTGAAAATAGTATGGAGAGTTTCCATGTTCTCTATACCTACCTTTTTCTTTCTTTTTACACTATATATCCCATAGACTATAGACTATTAAAACTAAGAAATAAATTTTGGAAAAATATTATTAACCAAAAAGCAGTAAAGACTATATGTGGGTTCCTACAGTGGTTCCACAGATGTCCTTTTTTGTTCAATCACAGATGGCACACTGTATTTAGTAGCAATTTCTCCGTAGTTTTCCCAAATCTGTGATAGTCCTTCTGCCTTTCCTTGATGTTTGAGACCTTGACACTTTTCAAGAATATGCTATAGAATGTCAGTTATTTGGAAGACTGTCCCTCAATATGGGCTTGTCTGTTTTCTGGAGATTGGACTGAGAATGAAATTAGCTTTCTGTGTGTATATACCTATGCCCTTCTCAATGTATCACATCAGGTGTAAAATAATGTCAGTATGTTTTACTGGTTATTTTAACCTTGACTTCTTGGCTAAAGTACAATTCTCTATGGAAAATATTTTCCCCTTTGTAATTACTGAATATTATCAGACTATACAAATATTCTGTTTTTGTTTAAACTGATGTCACTTATGTTGGACCTATCAGTTCATCTTGTCTGCAGCAGTTAATACTATGGTGCTTTAACAGTGTTCCTTCATGCCTTCAACATTTATCAACTGGAATTCTCTTACAAGGAAAAGTTGTCCCTTCACTTTACTGACTTAGGTATTTCTTTCAGCATGAACTCATGGATATTTATTTTATTCCTTGGGTTAAAAGCTAATTCTAGGCCGGGCATGGTGGCATCTGCTTATAAACCCAGAAACTGGGGAGGTTGAGGCAAGAGGATCAAAAGTTCAAAGCCAGCCTCAGCAACTCAGCAAGGCCCCTAAGCAACTTAGTGAGACCCTGTCTCTAAATAAAATATAGAAAGGGCTGGGGATGTGGCTCAGTGGTTAAACGCCCCTGATTCAATCCCTGATACCAAAAAAACACAATACAACAAAACAGAACAAATAAAAAAATACTAGAATTATTTTGTTGCCTAAATTGTTCCAATTTTGACCACTGGATGCACTTTCAGGCTGGGCTCTGTGTCCTTTTGACATGCTGCTGCTGCCCACCCCATCTCTCCATTTCTTCTTCTTTTTCCTAAATTTTTTGCACCACAAGATACTCCAGGTTCATTTGATATTTTCCCTGTCCCAGATCTAGAATCAACCAGTCCTGACTCCTTTTACTGGTATTTAGAAACCAAGATCTGGGGCTAGGTATGCTCATTGCAACTGGGGTATAACTGCTCCTAGCCCCTTCTAGTGTCTAGAGCTTGGAAATACATATAGATATACTAAGTCATGTATCCTCACACATCTGCTTTTTATTTTTTCCACCCTCCTTTCCGCTATCTAAACATGAGTCCATTCTGATACCACTGATTCCAATTAGCACCTGAGGTTTTATCCTGATCTTTCCTGATTGATTGTGATACTGGGGATTAAACCCAAGGGCACTCTTACCACTGAGTTACACCCTCAGCCCTTTTTACTTTATATTTTGAGACAGGATTTTGCTAAATTGTTGAGGCTGGCTTCAAACATGCTTCAGCCACCCAAGTTGCTGGGATTACAGGTGTGTACCACTGTGCCAGGCACCATTCTTGACTTATCTTCTCTGATATGCAAAACCTGACTCTTATCACCTACAATATATTATTTCACAAAATACAATTAAAGTAGGAACAAAATTCCTAACATATAACCTTGAGAGAAATAAATTTTACAAACTAGAGTGCTTTGTACACAATTCTTTGTGTCTTTTGCCTTACAATATACAGTCAAAACACTGTTTTCCAAGGTCAGCTCCTTTCTTCTCTATGCCCTTCAGTGTGGTTATGTGACTTGTTATAATACCAGTTAGATTCATTCACTGCCATAGTGCATATTCCAGTTCTCAGTTCCCTGCCCCCAAACCTATCACATACTGGTTGATTAAAATAATTGTAACATCCAGTAGAATTCACTTTTTGTGTGGTGTATAGTTCTATGAATTTTGACAAATGTATATATTTATCAGCTACCATAGTTTTATACAGATTATTTCTTACCTTCAAAATATGACAACTAATTTTAATTCTGCTTTCTCAGCACCAACCAGAAGGTGGCAGGGTTTGTCTCTGAGAGGCAGTGTTCACCAGGCAACGGGGCCTGGCCTGCTCTACATGCAAATAAATGGACAACTCTCTATCCCTCATACTCCACGTTTAATCTCCAGTTATGCTTAAGGGAAGTWACAAGTTTTTTCTTCCCTAAAATAGGTGAGTTTGGCTGGAAGTCTCAGAATTTCACAATCTAACTGAATAAAGCAGATGATTGATCAGAGAATAAGAAGGTATCCCACAATTATTCTTTGATAAAATATTCACATGGAAGGCAAGAAAGGGTAATGAGAAAAGCAGAGGAAAAAATCAAATCAGGGTGAGGGCAGGAAGACGACTATAGACTCTCCAAGACAGTACTGGTTTGGTACTGGTGGCTGGGAAAGGTTTTCATAAGAGGAAAGTGACAGTGGGCAGGGAAAGGATTTCTAGATAAAGGAAGAGGCTGAGCACAGGCAAAATGGTTTAAATCATCCCAGAGGCAGTGTTCTGGAAAGAAAGGTTAGAAAGATAGGCAGGGACCATCAAACTTAGCAACACTTCAAATGTCCTACCGTGGCATTTGTTTAGCATTCAGTAAACATGATATTCTAACACACACATAGCTATGTCACAGACATATGAAGCACTTAGTTGTCCATGTGATAATGTATAAGCTCTGATTGACTAACAACAAATTTTAATTTAGAAATTATTGTCGTCATAACCATCCCTAAACTAACTACTGCCAAGTAGTTTTATCTCCCTAAATTACATTTATAAAGTGGAATAATAGTCAATAAAAGGGTTATTATGTGTATTCAATGGTATAATGCATGGAAAGTACAAGAGTTTCTGGTACATGTGAGTGCTCAATAGTATTATGAATAAATTACAAACCACCAAAATTTATCTAAATGCTCTCTCATATCTCCCTTAACCTTTTTTCCTAATAAGTAAGTTTTTAAAAGATCCTTTTTTTTAATATAGAATTATTTTTTAATATGTCAGTGGATATTTATTTATTAATATGCGGTGCTGAAAATTGAACTCATTGCCTCACACAAGCTAGGCAAATGCTCTACCACTGAGCTACAGCCCCAGCCCCTTAAAAAGATCCTTCTTATCCCTCACATAGTAGAATCAGTCTAAAGGACACCTGGTGACCAGGGAGGGATATGGCTCAATGACAGAGCATCTGACTGGTATATGTGAGACTCTGGGTTTAATTCCTAGCACTACCCGCCCTCCAACCCCTGAAAAAAAAAAAGTACATCTGGATGCCTACATTCATTAATGCTACAAAACCAACTTGAATAGTTCACCAAATCTAACTCCTCTATTCTCATGTACTGCTGCTATGAACCTCTAATATGATGCTGTGTTTTTCACATACATTATCATATTCAGTCCTCTACAGAACTCTGAAAGGTATTCACATATCACTTCAAAGGTAAGATCATATAAAATATCAGAGACATAAAGTAAACTTGTTAAGTCTACAGGGTGGTCTGCTTCTAGAGCCTCCTTTCTACTGAATGACAGTGTCCTCCTCTATTCATAATCTAGTGTTCTGGCACTGGCCCTTCTCTTAACCACATCCAGGTTTTCTGTGCCAATAGCTCACAAATTTCTTGGTGTCCTGAGGTACTTCAAACTGGGCACTGCCAAGGTGAACATTTTGCTCCATTCTGCCCTTTGGCCTGACTTTTTYTTTCCTGGTAGGACCATTATTCTTAATCCAAATCCTCAACTTTAACTTCTGACATTGCCTAAAAGTATGTCACCAACTCCTATTGGGTGAGTTTCTTCCATAACTCCAACTTCCATCTGTGCCACTTTGTTCTCTACACCATCCTTCTGGGCTCTTCTAAAAACTTTCTGGGTAGTTTTTCTATTTCTCCTACCCCAATCCATTCTTCAAAGCTTCCCTTTAATAATTAATCTTAGTAGATTAATTAATTTCCTAATGGCTCTTAGGAAACTTCCCAATAAACCACAAACTCTTCATCAACCTAGATACAGATTTTTGAACACATCCAGCCTCTGAATATATCACAGTTTTAGTAAACAAAATTATACCACATTCACAAGACCGCCTGTCTCATACATGACTTAACCATCTAAATTCCTACTTTATATTATCATCATTCTTTGAAAAACTAGGGGAGTATATTAATCCCAGTCAGGATCTAATTGTTAACTGGGGTCTTACCATACAGGGCTTATGCATTAGCTGCCACAGAATCCTTAACATCTTATGTCTTTCCTCTCACCTAAACTGGGAGGTTCCCATATGCAGGAGATATATTTTTGAGTTATGAGCATACAAGGTAAGACCTGATGTATAGTGCAGGCTTGGGAAATTAATAACTCTAAAATATAATAGCTGATACTAAAGGTACAAGATGGGTGAAGGGTGGGCAGTTAGGAGCACTGAGTACCACTCACCCTTCCGGTTCATCCCCATCTGGAGGCATTTGAGTAGGCGGCAGTATTGGCACCTGTTTCTCTGTTTCCGAGACATGACACAGTTCTTGTCACGACTGCATCGATATACCCGTTTGTTACAAATGCTCCGCTTGAAGAACCCTTTGCAGCCCTCACAGGAGATGATCCCATAGTGCAAGCCTGTAGCACGGTCCCCACAAATAAGACAGGTTCGTTGTTCGGCCCGATCATCTGGAACAGAAACTAATAAACATGTTCAAGTTAGAGTACAGTGGAAATAATGGCTTTAAGGCCACAGTTCCTAAAAGAAGCATCCTTGCTCTGGAAAGATCAAGACCACCACCATCTTCAGACTAACTGGTATACAGGTGGCATCTCTGGAACCTTTGCCACAGGAACAGACTCCTGTATCTACCTGCAGATATCACAGACACTGCTTATCTGGCGGGGGGGGGGGGG